CACACTCAACAAACACATCAAGCAACACAAAGGTCCCAAGGGCGGCTACCATGTCAGCAATTGCATCCTGTACGTTGTATGTCAGCTCAACATGAGTGGCAAGGCTGAGTTGTCCATGGACAGGTTCTTGTCCAAGCTTGTGTGCTGGAGGGCAATGCTGCATGCATTGGGAGACAACAACCATGAGGAGTGCCTCCAGATCTACATGCTTGAGGGACGTGTGTGTGATATGTTTGGTGGACTCAGCCAGTGTTTCCAAGGCAAAACACAGGGGTGGAAACATTGCCTTGTCCAGTCAGATACAGATTCTGAAAATGGGCAGAACTCAGAAAATGATCCCAGCAATCAACCATCAAGGGAGGACAACAGTGTTTTCAAGTCCAGTGACAAAGATGATGACAATGGCAATGACAGTGATGATGATGATGACACAAGGGGTAGAAAGTGGAAGAGGAGGTTGGACTGCTGCAGCAGGCAAAAGAAGTGGCAAAGGAGAAGGTGAACCAGATATGATGATAGCAGCAGCAACCAGTGTGAGCCAAAAATGCAAGTGTGGCAGTGGCAGTGAATCATTGGTGGGAGCTGTGTCTGAGAATGAGTGTGTTGTTGTCAGGCCCTGGCGCCACCTGACTGTGTTCCACAATCACAAGTGCAAAATGGATCAGCGTCTGTGTGACAACAGTGCTCCTGAAGGCTACACAACCATCATGCTTGAGGAGTGGATGAAGAAGGACCCCAAGAAGAACAAGCTCCTGCTGGTGCAGGTGGCAATGCTCTTCATCATTGGCAAGCTCAAGAAGTTTAGCGCCAAGTGCTGGAAGGACTGTGTGTGCAAGTGTGTGACCATGGATGAGGGCATGACATGTGGCACTATTGTGTGTGGAAGTCTGTTGAGGACTTTGTCCAGGAGGAGTGTGTTGATCTGACTTGCTATCCTGACATCTGGCACATGCAGTTGTTGCGCCAGGGCATGTTCAATTCGGCCTGCAACTATGTGCTCAAGTCCAAGAATGATTGCAGCTTCGTGATGTTCAACAAAGACTGCACCATCCTCTCTTTTGACAATGGCATCTTCTGCACCATGCAGCAGGTGGACAAGGAGGACCCATCAATTGAATACATGCTGGTGTGCCACTTCATGCAGTATGGCAGCCCTGAGCTCGCCTGGCTGCCTGCACAATTTGGATTGGCCAACTACATCTGGGGCTCCATCAATCCTGAGTGGCTCATGTGCAATCTGCATGACATCCTGATGCCTGTTGTTGAGGGCATGCTCTGACACCAGCACTGGATGATGGACATCATCTGCATCTTCCTCACCATCTGCATCAGTCATGTCATCTTCCCCATTGGCACCTATGATGCCTTCCAGGTGATGGCTGAGGCTGGAGTGGGTGGTGGCATCTGCCCCCAGCCTGCTCCATGCTAAACAGTGATAGGGAATTGAATGTCACTAAAGTAGACAGGCCCTGTCTGGTACCAGCCAAGGGAGTAGTCCTCATTCAAGTAGTGGACATTCAAAGAGCAATTTGGGGCTCTATCATGCTTGTTAGCAGGAGGAGCTGGCACAGGAGTTGATGCATCCACCAAAAGCAAAAATAAATAAAATACTGTGGTATGCTCACCACACAATCATTAGCACACATGGGTGTATCTCATGTATCTCCAGGAGGGCAAATGAAGGCAACAAGGGTATGTGCTTCAGGACACACACCTTGCGCCTTCTTCTTTTTTGTTTGCTTTTGGCAGCATGCTGCACAGCATTCCATGGGCGTATCAGATGATGGCCTTAGGAAAATGAAGGCAACTGAAGCAAACCAAAAATTGTGTCCAGGATTTCTTCCACTCAACCCAATGATGCATCACTGCACCACCGCCTTGTTTAGCCTTTTGCTGCTGGTGGTGGGTGTGCTGGCTGTGGAGAAGCAGGCAGCTCTGAGGGGGAGCATCTTTACCATGACCTTGCTGGACAAGAACAGCTATACTCAGTATTGGACATTCCCAGATGCTGCAGCGCTGGACAACTTCCAGCCTGTGGTCTTCATGGTGCCCCCTCTGGATAGCATCTGGAGAGGCGCTGCTGCCCCATACATGACTGGCAATGGGCTAGGTGACTTTGCAATCAGTGGAAACGGTGAGTTGTTGGGTGTGCAAGAATCTCCCTTGAAGATGTTTCACACCCATCGCCTGAGGGCTGGCAAATACATCACTTTTGTACCCCACAACAAGGTGCAACACTCAGGTCCCTTTTCTCTCTCTCTCATACATGAGTGCAGCATTGACTGGTTGGCCATGCATCATGTTGTGTGTGTGTGGACAGACCCTCTACATGATCAGCCTTAAGCTAGTAAAGGTGTTGTATGACATGGGGAAGTGATGGCTCACTAGGCTTGAGCTGCCTTCTTATGCTGACAATAGGTGTGGGGATTCTCATCTCACCACCCTTGGATTGCACACACAGTCAACGCCAGAAGCTCCAGTGTTGGGGTGGCCATCAGACCAGAGGCCTCACAGTGGCACATGCTGTTCAGCAAAAATAATTATTGGTGAACCATGGCTGCACAAGTCCTGGACCTGGCAGGTTCATTCATCACTCCTCTTTGGGTTCCTCTATTGTGCACTGGTGTGTATGGTCTTCCCCTGATCAGGTATCATGTGATCAGATGATGGCTCTGGACCTTCTCATGCAAGCTGGGGTGGCATCTGGTAGTGCCCATGCTGATGCACAGTCACTAGCTGTCATGATCCTGAGCCTCCACTCCAGTGACCCCACAACCCCCTACCTTCTCATATGTCAGGGCAGTGTGCAGAGCACATCCTCATGTGCTTTGCTGGATGGGTGGTCTGTGTGCCAGATTTCACCCCTCAACAACACCAGAAGAACAGTGAGGGCCCTCATGCTGGTAAGCGCCACGACCTGGCTGGTCACCATGTATGGAGCTGGGATCTGGCATACCAACTCAGCTGGCCAATTGTGGACCCACCTCTGTGGCGGTTATGATGCTGGCTGGATTGACATGACCTACAACCATGAGTGGGGCATCATGGCTGCTGTCAGCACCATCACTGGAGACCCACTCATAAAGCCCACTCACATGGCCTACTGGAGGCTGGAGGAAGGCGTCCAAGCCAGGTGCCATATGACAGCTTGGCACAACTCTGCCTACCATTGGATTGTCCCAGGCGCTCCACTGTTGTAAGCCTCACCTGTTTTTATCCTAATTTTTATACCTACCACCCTTTGTCTCTCTTGATGACCATAGTCCAGTATCCATTTGTGCTGTG